GTCCGCCGTCGACAAGTCCGCACAGTGACGGACAAAATGTCACGTCACAATATATATATAATATAACCAATATAACCAATCATTTATAAATTTTTAAGATTAGAAACATTATTTTAAAACAAATTAATAAATTAAGAGTTACGAGCTCAGCTCAATGTTTATTACTAAACAAAATATAGTTTAAATGACAGACGTTTTGATCTTATACCCGGTCATTTTCAATTTATTGTTTAAACTATATTTTGTTCAAAATTACTAATAAACATCTATCCACAGGTTTGTATTCCTTGTAATTAATTTGATTTTTATCCATTTAAGCTTTAGTTTTTTTAAATTATTATAAATTTCCTATTTTTAATTTCCTTGCTCATGGTGATAACATTGCTACTACGTCACGACTTTTTCGTATTGGGAAATCAACCCAATACAGTATTATCCTTGAAATGTGTAAAGCTATATGGGAAACTTTACAACCGATATATCTCCGATGTCCACAGCAAGAAGATGAATGGCTGAAAATTGCAGATGAATTTAATAACATCTGGAATTTTCCAAACACACTGCATAGGCGCAATTGATGGCAAACATTGTCGTATTCAAGCTCCGGCTAATTCTGGTAGCGAATTTTATAATTATAAAAACTACTTCAGCTTTGTATTAATGGCCATTGCTGGTGCACGCTATCGTTTTATTTGGGTAAACATTGGAAATTATGGTAAATTTACTTATTTTTATTAAAATGTATAAAAGTAAAGTTTCTTTTAAATTAAGTTATAAAATGTATTCTAATTTTAGGTTCTCTCAATGATGCGGGAATTTGGTCCCATACCACTATGTGTCAAGCTTTGGAGAATAATACAGTATCTGTTCCACAAGCTCGCTGTTTAGATAATACTAATATTACAATACCATTTTCTCTTATTGGCGATGAAGGTTTTCCACTTAAAAGTTACTTGATGCGACCATTTGCTAAAAAAAATTTGCTGCTATTGAGCAGCAAATGTTCAATTATCGATTATCAAGGGCACGACGAGTAATCGAAAATGCATTCGGTATTCTCGTTGCAAGGTGGAGAATTTTACAAAAGGCTTTAAGTTTAAAATTGGAAACTGCAGAAGTTATAGTACAAGCTGTAACTTGTTTACATAATTATATTATAACCACTGGGTTAAGCAACAATCAATATTTACATGGAGGTATTGCAGATAAAGAAGGTCCTAATGGTGAAGTAATAGCAGGAAATTGGAGAAATTCAGTAAGAAGTAATATGGTTTTGTTGCTTCTTTGGGACGAGTTGGAGCAAACATAGTTGCATCTGCTGCTATAAAACAGCGTGAAATTTTATCTCATTATTTTGTTTCGGACGAAGGAAGCATACTTTGGCAATGGCAATATATTTAATGAATGAATAAAATTGGAAAAGATAAATTTTTATTTTAAATTACAAAATAACACGATTAAGTATTTCAAAAATGTAGAGTATTGTAATCAAGTTATTGGGTATGTGGGAATAAGTTTCCGCCCTTTTTGAAAAGAAAAAGACGTGTTTATTTAAACAAATCTATGTAAGTGAGTTTATTCAAAGTATGCTTTGGAAGCGACAACTTTCTCCCACTTTTCCGGTAATAAACGGATTCCTCGAATGAAAAAATCTGGTTCTTTTGAAGCAATCCATTCATCAAGCCATTTTTTGATATCTTCATAAGAATTGAATCGTTCTCCAGAAAGGGCCGACTGCATGGATTGGAACAAATGGAAATCTGAAGGAGCAATGTCCAGTG